GCATACAAAAACCAGTTTTATTTTTAGTCACACAAAGGTTTTGGTCAAAAAACATAACTTTAGTTGATCAGCCATTTTTTTCCATTGGACGTGGCCCTAAAGAAATGACTTTTGGCCAATTCTCAATATCAATTCTACATATAAAGGGCCAAGGTTTGCCACCAATGAAGACATTTAAAGGCATGTACCGTAGGTTTCTAAGGCAAGTCTGAAGGAGAGCTTCTAAAAATATTTTATACAACGGTATCATTAAAAGAGTGAGCACACAGGCCCCAAGATAACGTCTGTGTCTGTGAAGAAGAGGACAGATTTTTGGATGCTTAAGTCTGTATGTGTGGGTAATAAGTCATTTCTTTATAATTAAACCTCTTGACCTTTAAACCTCTGTATAATTAATTCCTCTTGACCTTGTCCATAATAAGATCACTCTATAATTGATAATATGCTTTCTTAAAAAACTTTAAGCTTTACAACAACCCTATAGGTTAAGTATTCCTGTCAATTTTATAGATGAAGAAACAGAATAAGTGAAAGAGTTCATACTGAATTCAAACCTCTTGATTCCAAAATCTGTGCTGTCTGTACACGCTAAATTAGTTGTCTAAGGCCACACAATTCAAGAAGGAAGAAGTCAGGATTCATAGCCCTTCCTTCTGACCACTAGGCTGCATGGACATCTCGATCAGTTATGTATCTTCTCTTAATCAATGCTCACTGTGGGTTTGCAGTCAAACTAACTGCCAATTTGCAAACAGTCATCCCTGTAGTAAGGACCTCAGTTGATTTTTTTTTTTTTTTTTTGGCTTAAACAACAGAAATTTCTTACAGTTGTGACAGTCAGGAAGTCTAAGATCAAGGTGCCGGCCACTTTGGTTTCTGGTGAGAGCTCTCTTCCTGGCTTGCAGAAAGCAGTCTTCTTGTTGTGTCCTCACATACTGGGATTGGAGTGGGGGAAAACAGAGAGCGAGTAAGCTCTCTGGTCTCTTCTTACAGGGTACTAATCTGATTTTTTAAATAATAATATTTCTCATTTTAGAATAATGGAGATTGAGCGATGTGAATTTCTTGGACACTTTTTTTTTTTTTTGGAGACAGGGTCTCACTCTATCATCCAGGGTAGAGTGCAGTGGCATCATCATAGCTCACTGCAAACTCAAACTCCTGGGCTAAAGCAATCCTCCTGTCTCAGTCTTCCAAGTAGCTGGGACTACAGGCTCATGCCACCACACCTGGCTTATTTTTCTATTTTTAGTAGAGACGAGGTCTTGCTCTTGCTCAGGCTGGTCTCGAACTGAACTCCTGAGCTCAAGCAATCCTCCCACCTCAGCCTCTCAGAGTGCTAGGATTACAGGTGTGAGCCACCACTCCCGGCCATTTTGGACACATTTTAAGATCCAAAGACATTCACTAAATTGGCATTACAACTAAAGAACCCTGAAAAGGGGTCAAACCAGGTTTTGATCTGGACTCTGTTCCTTAGTTTCTTTAAGATACTGGGAAAATCACTCAAACTCTCTGAGCTTCTGTACCACTTAGGGTTCTTAAATTTGATGCAAGTAATAGGAAGTCACTATGGCTAACTTGAGCCAAAGGGGATTGGAAGGATAAATGCTAGATTTGTAAGTGTTTGAAAAGTTGAAAATGAGGTTTAGAAACTGGCAAGAACCAAGGAACTAGCTGACCTGAACTAAAAGGAAATTGGGATGCTATTAGGGAGGAATAAATGCAGCGCAGTCAAACAAATCCCATCCATCCACCATTCCTTTCCTTTTCACTTCTAACAAGATAATCTATAAGAAGCCTTCTAACTCTGACATCCATTGCTTCTGTGTTTGGAGAAGAGTGAGCAAGAGGGTTGCATATGCAAACAGGGTGGTCAGAAATACTACATTTTGGCCGGATGTATAGCTGAAGGCTATGTGCAACTGAGGAAGGCTGGGCCACCACAGCACATAGGCTGATCAATTTGGTAGGCAGCAAACAGGAAGTAGAAGAGATCTTAAGCGAGCCAAGTGTTTGGGTAGACAGATTATGAGGAACAGGCACAAATGACATTTCCAACAAGCATTGGAAGCTTCCAAATGCTCCCAACAGTTACTGCCTTTACAAACACAGGGCAGTGTTAATCATGTGAAAGAGACTGACAGCACTTAGCGCTGACATGAGCTTCATATTATATTTGAAGGGAACACACCATTAAACCATATAGCCTCTGAAATCAAAACTTACAAACTGGCAGCCTACAGGTCAGCTATGGCATGTAGAGAATTAGTTACTGTTGTCATCTGGTTTGTGCTGCTATTAACAGAATACCAGAGACTGGGTAATTTATAGAGAACAAAAGTTTATTTCTCACAGATCTAGAGGATGGGAAGTCCAAGACTGGGGGCCAGTATCTGGTGAGGGCCTTTTTACTGCATCATAAAATAGCAGAAGGCACCACATGGGTGAGAGAGAGGGAAGGGGGCCGAACTCCTTTTTATCAAGAATCCACTCCTGTGATACCAGAATCAATCCATTCCTGAGGGCAGAGCTCTCTGTCCTAATCACCTCTTAAAGGTCCCATCTTTCAATACTGTTCCATTGGGGATTATATTTCGAACACATGAACTTCGGGGATACATTAAAATCATAGCAGTTACCAAAGAGAAAAATGCAGATTTCAGATTTTTCTTGGGGCAGGGGGAAGGGGGAGAGGCTCTGGCAACACCAGCCCTGCATTCCCACATAGCGACTGTTGTCTACTACCTTCTGTTGGCCCGTGGGCTCTCCACATTGCCACACCCTTTAAATGGTCCCCTTTACTTATAACATTACCTGCCTAGACCTGGAAGCACTCACGTTTCTGATCCTTGATTTAACTACTTCCATGACAAGCCCCCAAGGTCAGAGTGTGGGCTGCCACCTTGAAGGCTACCAGTGTGGCCTACTGGAGTGACCTCTGCTCTTGGGACCCCTTTGGTAGGATCTCTTCACTCCCACTTACTACCTGTAACTGCTGGAAACAACCATTTATTGTACCCCTACCACACCATATCTGTCTTTTCCGTCAGAACCAATTTTCAAACATGTATTTCCCCAAATGACTCTAATTACCTGACAGTGGAAGCAACAGCAAAGAACCCTCATCTAGCATCTTCAACTGAAATGTAGGGGAAAAACCGATGATGATGTATCTGAAAGAACTACTTCTGTTTGACTTCTTTCAAGACAACCTCAGGAAAAAGTCTTCCTTTAGGATTATTTAGTGCGAATAGCAGTGGACATGCTGGACATTGATTGATGCTGCTGCTGCCCCTTAGTGAGTCTCCTCTGTATACATCTAATCCCATCTGGATGCCAGCCCTCACATGCTTCCATCCCTGAACTCCAGCACACAATGTATGATACAATGTACGATTCATTGTGGACTTTGTTGGATCCATTCCCTACAAAGGGGCCACATTTTCTTGCCTAAATCTCTTTGACAGCTTCAAGTTGCTTTTAGGATAACTTTAAAATGCTTAGAGAAGTCTACAAATTCTTGCATTGTTTGATTCCTTGTTATCTCTCAGGCCTCACCTCCCAATGCATCTTCCCTGACTCACTTCATTTTGAGCACTTGAGTCTTCTATTTGTGGAAGAAGCCAAGCATGTTCCCATCCCAGGTCCTTGACACTTGCTATTCCCTCTCCTAGGCGGCTCCCCTTCCTCCTCGTCTTTCCCCCATATCCTACCATCATTTAGGCTCGGCTTTTAAATGCCATCTGGTCAGAGAAGTTTTCCCTTCCGCCCTCCTCCCATACTTCCACTCTTCATCCCTATTTCTCAGAGTCCCCTGCTTTCTTCTTTCTATTGCTTTCAACACAAGTTGTCTATTTCTTCTCTAATCTGTAAACTCTGTGAGAGCGGAGACCTTATCTATTTTGCACCCCACCGAATATTTAGAGTCAGCACAGTCCCTGCCATAATAGAGTAGGTGAGCAATACTTGGCTATCAAATGAATGAATGAAAAACCCGCATTCCATGCCGCTGGCCAGCTTAATACCATACTATATGATCTTCTAGACTGAATTGGACATCCTTTCTTAAGAAAAATATTTTTATTTTAGCCTCACATAGTTTATCATAAGCCTGGTGGAAAGTTATTAACCTTCCAGGTTCCTAAAGTGGCACTAGGAACTTATTATAAATGCAAATTTTCAGGTATTATTCCAGACCAACTAATCAGAAAACTTTGGGGGTGTGGCCCAGCAATCTGTGTTTTAACCGCCTTCCAGTTGGTTCTGATACACCCGTTACTTTAGGCTTTGCAGTTTTTAACTCTAAAAAAATTTTTTTATTTGGCCCTTAATCCTTGCTAGTACCCTGATAGTAGAATCGTAGTACTCTAGAGGGAAATCTTTGTCATCATCCAAAGCCTTGAATGAAGGCCTATTTGCGTATATTACGTAGAATACAATCCTGGGAGGTTTGCCTTCCTTGGGGGCACGAGTTTCTCTGGGGGTGGGGTAGGACTACAACCTAAAGTCCTGTAACAATACACAAGTGTAACTGAATAAAACCTCAGAACAAAGGCCGATGGGCCAGGGCGCAAGCCTTTGTTCTCGCGTTCCCCAACTGCTCACCCTTCCTGATACTGCTCTTTTCCATCCAGAAAAGCAGCCACTCAAGTTATAAGAATGGCTGCAAGCCGCGGACAACGCTTTCAATTAGGCGGTTTTCCCCCGGGCACTGGAGAAGATATTTCTGGCTGCAGGAGGCGCTTCCACTCCTCAACCTAGCACAGAAGCAACTGAAACTAACCCAAACGCTTAAAGCGAAATGCTTCTTGCAGCTTCAGAAGTAGAACTGGAAGCTTGGGCTGACTTCCCCGCCTCTACCCTCCTAGAAAACCCGAAGTGGATTTCACCGTCGCCGGGGCCGGGGCCACGGCCAGCGGCCGCACCTCACCGCGCATGCCCTGTCGCCCCTCCCGCTCGGAGCCGGAAGGGGGAGCGCTCCGGGCCTGGGCTTGGCCTGGCCCGGGCGTCGGCACCGGCGGCCATCTTGGCTTCCCGGGGAAAGGCGGCGTGAGGGGTAGAAGTTGTAGGGTGGGGGCAGGAGTGAGGAGGAGGGAAGAGAGAAGGGGAGGAGGCCGCGGCGGGGCAGGGCGGGGACTGCCTGCCTGCCTGGGTTGCGGAAGTGATAGCCGCTGACCGAGCCTGCTGCTTTCTGGCTACTGCTTCGGCTTCTCGGCTCCCCCTCGGACGGTGAGGGCGGCCCGGCTGTGGATGATCAGATAGCCTCTATCTCCCGCCGCCAATCTCTGGCCCCTACCAGCACGGAGCAGACAGCGGCGGCAGCAGCAGCAGCAGGCGAGGAGGAAGATGGCGGGACGGCTGCCGGCCTGTGTGGTGGACTGTGGCACGGGGTAAGGAGGCTGACGGGCCGGGGTGGGGAAACTGAGGCGGAGAAAGGAAAATGGCGGGGGAGGGAGGAGGCCGGGAGATGAATGGTGCGGCGGGATGCCGCCGCCGGCTGTCAGTCTTAGACCCGCCGGCTAGCGAGGGGTGGGGCCCGGTGGAACCTGGGCCTCCCTCGTGCACTCGCTTCATCCTCCTGGGACTGGGACTGGGGCGGGGGCGCGGGTCCAAGATCTCCCTCTCCCTCCGCCCGGAGCAGCTTCCTCTGTGCGACCCCTCCCGGCCCTTCCCCCACTGCGGTGGGCAGCGCCGCCCAGAGAGAGGTGGGGACGGTCGCCTCCCCCAGGACCGCGGTCGCCGTGGAGGTGGTCGCCGTGCCCGACCCACCCGGCTTTCTTTTTCCTCCGCGCCCCATTCTGCCCGTGGGCTTGGGGACCAAGGGGACGAGCGCGGGGACTGGCCTGGCACAGAAGCGAGAAAAGAGAAGTGCTCCTTGTAGGTTTTGCAAGATTGCTGTGACCACACTGCCCAGGGTGTGGGTGGGGAAAGGGAAGGATCGGACTCTGAAAATGGGAACCTCGAGTGGGGCTTTCATTTGACCACCCACCTTCTCTTTTCGACTCCCGGTCGTTTCCATCTCCCTCTTCGTTTTTACCAGTGAACCAAGTCACATTTTAATTCGAGAGAGAAAGATGTCATGTGTTACTTCTCTAGCCTCAAAAAAGTCCCTCAGTGAGCAAGCGCGCTGCAACTTCCTTAGTTTTGTCAAAGCCGCTTCCTGCTTTCAATCTTTTATACCCTTATAAGGTAGTTTTTAGTTTTCAACCTGAACACATCTTATTAGAACTTTTAAAGTTAAACCGGTTTTAAAGAGACTGAGTTACTGGTGCTAAGTGTCAATTTATGTGAACTTAAACTGTAGTTGTGTTCCACGGGGAGAGGAGACGTGAAGCACCCTGGAAAATCAACTAATTTAAGTTGTATATGTTCATTCTGTGACGGTATCTTGAAGCAGGAAGGAAGGTATAGAGGTATAAGGGAATGTGCTTAGTTTGCAAGTAGTTTATGATAAATCTGTAGTGTAGTTTACTAAAATATAGGATGGCTTTAAAGTGGTTGTTCCTTTCGTATTAATAGACACATTTTAGAGAGTTACACCACTCTCTATACTTACATAGAGAATAGACTGCCCATATTTTAATGTAGAATGACTGCTTATTTTGAAATGTTGGAGTTTTTTCTTTTTTTTTGGCCTGTGCTGATTACATCTCTTTGATCCTTAAAACACTCCCAATTTTTTTGAGGGGGAGGGTGGTGAGGGGTGGATTGCCAGTCTTTTATTTTCTTTTATTATCTACCATAGGATTGTTAAAGGATTGTATGTCCTTCAGCCTTTAATTGCTCTATGTAAGATTTCTTCAGTCTTCACTTGTGTTACTTTAGCCAGTGTGGCAGTTTCTAAAATCCCAGTCAGACAGAGGGAAACAACCAACTTCTCAATATTTTCCCTAGGAAAACACTAGGTTAGATTAGCCTTGTAACATCTGTGTATTTTTTTGATGGATGCCTTTTTAGTTTCTTCTTAATCCAGTCTCATTTCCATGAACCAGTACGTTTTTTTCCTTTTCTCTTAGTCTAATTGGTGTGTAGTTTTATATTTAGGGTCAGTTTAAAATTCGATGTAGCCTGTGTGAGTAGGACTTTTCAAGTGTGTTGTTAATGTGACAAATACTGCTACCTAATTAATACTTAATGCTTTAGAAATTATTCAGTTGTCAGTAAAAATAGTGTAAATAATTGTCGCAGTAATAACATAACATCTTAAGTGGAATGTTACTTTTTCTGTCTCCATTTTTCTCCTTTTGAAATAGTTTTGGTTATTTTTGAGTTAGAATACTAGATAGCTCATTGAGGTTCACTGTCCTTAAGTGACCTCTTTTCTGAAAGGGCAACCTCAAATTTAAAACATGGTTGAGTGATAAGTAACTCGGGGAGAGGGGTTCAGTCTATATCTAGGATATTTTTGTTTTAGTATTTCAATTATTACAATATTACATTTTCATGTTATTGCTTTGTTGCAGCCACACAAGGAGAAGTTGTTAACTGGACATTCATTATGATGTGAATGGAATTAGAAATCTTGCCACCTCATTATGTTTTATCATCTGTCAGAATCTGAAATTCCCCCTTTAGAGTTTCATTTATTTTGGTCTTTTTGGTCTTTCCAGTTGCCTGTTAAATGCTAAAGTTATACCTTCAGTTTTATTAGCACACAGAGGATAAATCCTTATGATTGGGTCCTTGAGCTAAGCATCTCTAAGCATGGCCTTAACAGGGAGTTTTACATACTGTGCCCAAATGCAAACTGTGCACCTATAATTTGTGTATTCCTTTATGCTTTAGAGAGGGCATTCACCTCTTCGGTCTCCAAATTACAATTACCCAATTAGTGTAAATGGAAACAAAATTTTTTTTTTAGCAGGATTAATGAATTCAAATTAGTTATTTGATTGTCATCTGGTTAGCAGGTGATTCAACCTGCTGTTTGAACCTAAGTTCTTCTGTATGTAAGCCCTGTGTTCTTTCTGTTACACTATGGGGACTCTTGATCTTGTTTTCAGAACTATACAAGTTGCTTTATTTTTGTTAGTAAAGTTAACTCTATTTATTCCTGGTTTAAAGTAATCTTTAAAAAAAGCCTAGCCTTATGAATTTGATTCAGTTGATTAGAGAAACTTTTCTGTGTAATCTTTCTGACTTGATTCAGGTTTTTTTTCCCCTGGCTATGTGAATTCCTAAACTACTTCCTTGTTACTTTGTTTAAATTTAATCTCTAGAAAAAATTTACTCTCTAGGTAATGTTTCTCAGGAGATAATAATAGCATTTATCAAGAATTATGTCTCAGGCCCTGTGCTAAATGCTTTATATTATCTCATTAACTTTTCACATCAACCTAATAAGTATTATCTTCATTTTATAGGCAAGAAAATTTAAGCTTAGAGAGGTTAAGCTGCTTGCCCAAGGTATTATAGCAAATAAGTGTGACAGAGCCACTCACTATATCCTCCTTATGTAGAGGATAAACTTTTGACATTTGAATCATTTAGATATTTTTGATTTTGGGTGGGAAATTAATTTATGATGCAGTGAAGGCACAAAGCAATGTTAGTAACTTACAGATGACTTGCACTGGTAGAAAAAGTGTTGTCAAATTGAGGCTTCTGATATAATTAGCATTATAATGAAATGTATAACACAATCTACTCTCAAGAATCTTAATCAGAAAAGAGCTAAAAATCATTAACAAATTAGAGGTAGGTAGAAAACTGCATTTAATCAAATGTTAGGATATTTGCTTTTCAGACAGTAGATTAGAAGGAAAGAAAGATTACTGTGGTCAGGAAGTTTTAGGAATTTGAGGTATCCTTTTAAGGATTTGATTAGATGCACAGGAGAGCATTTTACCAAGGGCAAGGAAAAGCAAGCACAGCTGAAAGAGAAGAGTAGTTGCTTTTATGTTTAGCCCTCTTAGCATGATATTTTGCACTGCTCCCCTCCTTTAGGAATTGAGGACCTTGTAATAACATGTGGATCTAGATTTTGTAATGTGAAAGGAAACTCACATTTATTGAGCACCTCCTATGTATCTGGTGTTCATTATATGACAACAGAAGCTTTGATTGCAAAAAAATTTTACTCGATAGGGAATAAATATCCTCTAGTAGAGGAGTGAAATTTTGAAAATAAGGCCTTTAGAATATTTGTAGAATGGAATGCAGGGGGATCGGATATAGAAGAGATATCTGGAATGAAGTTATGGGGCTTGGGTGCATAGTAGGAACTCAAATCTTTGTTGAATGAATGGACAGGAATTAGGAAGATGGTTTTAAAAAACTACATCAGAAACACCCCATACCCAGTGATTTAACATCTCAAGGGTTGGGCCTAGAACTGTTCATTTAAGTGTGCTTTCTAGATGATTCTTAAGCAGCCCACTCAGCACCAGCTTTGCAGAAGTCCTGAAACCAAGTATTGGCAGTGGGGATGGAGCAGAAGAGGTAAGTTTGGCAAAGATTGCTTCTTTGTTTTGCTTGTACCTTTCTTCTGGCAGTTATATTGTTTTGTATTGTTTATTTATGGATAGCAAGGGCTTTGTAGTCAGCTGTTTTTGAGTTCATGATCTATCACTTACTAGCTATGTGCCTTTATACATTTCAAACTCTGCAGGTCTTATTTTTCTCATCTGTAATTTGGAGACCATAGTGTTTACCTTATGGGTTTTTTTTTTTCCTCCTCTTGAGATAATGCATGAAAAGCACAGTGCCTGGCACATAGTAAGAGCACAATACATTGTAATTATTATAATAATCGGTTAGCTCCCTCTTTTTTGAATTGAAGTCCTCAAGGAAAGGAACACAGTGTCTTATGCTTATTTTCTTATCTCCTGCAGGCCTTGGCCTGCCTACCACAGTTCTTTGCACAGTCAAAATATTTTTGCTGATTTGAGAGATTGTGAAGGAGGTGTAGCTAGGACTTGGCAGCTGATTTTAGTGGATTGTAAATAGGCATCAATGAATATTTCAAGATTATGAGCTTGAGTGATTGGGACAATAAGGGAGTTGGTTTTAAGAAACAGTAAAATTGGAATTTGTTGTTATATTTGGAATGATGATCTATAATTGGAAATGTCCTAGAGGAAATTAAAAATACAGGAATTTTAGGAATGAAAGTAGAGACTTGGGAATCATCATTATAATTTATAAATTGATGCTATAATAAATGAGAACATTGAAAGAGAAAAGAACAGAAAGGTTGAATATTAATGTTCCATCTTTTAAAAATTATGGATGTGTGATCCAGCTTCTTGAGCATCACAATAAGAAAAACGAGCACATGTGACTTATGGTTTCAGCTATACCAATCAGCTATGATGTGGCCTTTTGGATCCTTGAGTACAGCCTTTTGACTGAATTCAAACTTTACAGTTAGTAAAGGGATTCATTCTGT